GAATTTTATCATAGTACCAGCTGTGACTTTATGGCTGCATGCAACTGCAGTTGGCAGCCTAGAGGGAGTGGTAGAGAAGGCCAAAGGGTCAGTTTCATTCAGGGATGGGTGCAATTGACAGGGTCAGTGAGTAGTGCAGGAGGATGGGTTAGAAGTGGATATTGGTGAGGGTGTCATTGAAGTGATGGCCAGCACGCTCCTTACTAAGTAATGTAGCAGGAGCTTGCTAGCTTGGAGAAAGTATGTGGTCAAGGGATTGGAAACCTGAGATTTAAAGATCGAGTCTAGTGTGTGCTGTGTAGAAGAACAAGAAATTGTGTTTCCGGAATTCTGTCTTGGGGGTTCAGATATTAAAAGTGGTGCCAACAAGATCTGTGTAAGGGCAGTTGTTGGAGGCCAAGGTCCTAGATGGGGTTGGGTGATGGCTTTCCTTGTAGGTATTTGACAAAGCAGGTTAGACCAGGAAGTCTCTTCTGAGGGGTGAGGTAAGTGCTTAAACTCAAGTTTTGTACTTCTCAGGAGGTTTTGGGGCACTTACTTGGAGGAAGAGAAGTGTGGAGTGGACTAACTTTTCAGAGGCCTTGATCAGCTTGAACAGTAAGTGGTGAGGAACATGGAATGATGTGGGCCCCAAAGCTGTGGGGCACAGGGAGCCATTGTTGAGGTGAAAGATCAAACTTGAGGTGTCACCTGAAGTTCTTTGTAGTGATCATCATGAACAGAGGAATTTATAACAAAGGTTCCCTGGATTATGGTCTGTTCTCTGCATGACTATCCTGGGGCACACCTCATGGCTGAGCCCTATGTATGTGAGGAGAGAATGGGCAGGTGGAGGAGAAATGGTTCCTGTCTTTGGAGCTCCCCAGGTTGATGGATGGTTAAATTGACTTCCTAAGGTGATGGTCAACTCTAACATTCTCCAATTCTGAGGAGGTAGAAACAGGTTATAGAGAACTGGAAAAGCAATGTGAGTAGATGGGTTTTCTTTTTCTTTTTTAACCAAATACGCCTTTTCTGCTTGACCCATGTCAGTTACATATAGCCTGACCTCATCCTTACTAACAGGTGCCTTGTATTTCACCATATAAAGAACCCCAAATTAAACCCTGTTGATGGCCATTGGATTGTCGTCTGTCTTTCACCATTACCAAAAATGCTATGGTTGATGGCCTGGTACATGAAATCTTGCACGTTCTCAGGACTGTTTCAGTTTGTCTTTTCTCAGTTGAGCTTTGTTTCCTTAATGCTGTATGGTGGCATCAAACTCTGCTTGGAATCCTTTCTGTGTAGTCTGTAAGTGTGATTTCCAGTGTGTGCTCTATTTGTTTTGACACAAGCCTGTGGTAACAACATGGATTGCACGGAGGCCGTTATACTGGGGTCCCACCTGTACTGTCTCTACTGGGTGTGCAAAGCCTCGTGAGGAAGCCTTGATGAAGATACTGGGAAATCGGGAAGCCTCCAGGGTTGTACAGGATTTTGCATAAAAGCTGAAAGAAGCCTTGGGCACCTGGGGTGTAACTTCGTAATCCCTGGCCCTCTCTAGTGTTCATCAAGCCTTCCCTATAGAGAATCTGAGCCAGAAAGAAACTGGTGAGGTCCTAAGCACCTCCTCTTCTTTAAGGCTGGGGATGGGACACTTGAACCCTCCCTGGATATATCTCTGAGTTATAAAGCCCTCTTCTTAACACCCCAGGAAAGTCGACGCAGCGCCCTTGCTCAGATCCCTGCAAACCAAACATTCCAGCCACTGGTCTCCAGAGCTGCCCATTTCACAAACACCTCAAAGGAATGTGGGTTTGAATTGAGATCACCTTCTTGGCCAGTTTTGGAGCCTGGGAAAAAAGAGCCGCCTTTGGAAAAAGCTTTAGCTGGTTTTGTGGGTTTTTTACTTGCAAGGCTGGTTGACTGTTGGGCTGAGCTTGGAGGTTGTATTCCCCATAGGAGGGCTCGAGTTAGGAGAACTAGCCCCACTCTCTTGTGTGTGTTTGTGGTTTTAACTGAGCTACCCCCTAAAGTGCATCTTTTCCCTCTCTGACTGACTAGCCAGGTCCTGGGACGCAGCTGGTGTTGATTCCTGCCAGCCACTGTGACTGGACAGTGCACTTACCTTCTGTTTAAGGCCACCCACTCTCATTCTCCCCCCTGCCTGATGTGGGTGAGAGAGAAAGGAGCACTCTGTCTTAGTTTTGTGGTGCTGTCCCAGTAGCTCATGATTTGGTACGTAAGAGTTAAATGAAGAAATTGGGGTAGAGGCAGAAGAAGGGGCTGGGGTATGAGTTGAAATTTGTGGGACCATCTGGTTTCCTTTCTCTCACTGTAGGGAAGGTACTTAGGGAATCAATCTCTTTCTTACTACACACACACACACTCACTCACTCACTCACTCACACTCACTGCCTGCTTAGCTTTCTCTGACCTAGAACACCCGGAGGGTGAAGGGTAGGAGTTCCATATGGGCTATGGCTATGAACTTGTCTCTCTTGGATATGAGTTCTTAATATGGTATTCATAAATGGCCTTCAGGATGTTCACAACCCCCTGAAATTGTCTACAACATTGTACATTCATGTGTTTCTTCAGAGAGGGTCCACAGCTCTCATCAGATTCTCAAAGGGGTCTCTGGTTCCCAAAAGGACAAAATTCTCTGCTTTGGCATTTGAATCTTGGACTGATAGTAAGAAAAGCAATAGTTGACATTCACCAGCCTCTGATCACACACCAGGCAAGGCTAAGTGCTTTACACGTGATGTTTCATTTGAGCCTCCAAATCTTGCAAGGAGAGTATTATGATTATTCTTCTCTTACTGGTTAGGAAGTGGAGGCACTGAGAATGGCACATTAGACCCAGAATGATGCAGTTTTCTGGAGCTGGGACTTGAACACAGTCTGATTCTAGAACTCTTAGCTGTTCCTTGGTAGGGCCTCCATGCCAAGCCGAAGGGCTCCATAGTGACTCTGGGATGTAGCTGGCTTTAAAGTTCCTTTCCCTTCTTCACTTCACTGCCTGACTCTAGTATAGGCTTCCACTGGCCCTGAAAGAGCACTGTTACCCACCTGGTTTCCACGTCTCTGGAGGGGTAGGAGAGAGGAGATTGTCTCTGGGAAGTCGAATCTATTTAGTTTTGAATCTTAGTTCTGTGACTTAGTTGTCCTCAGCATAAGCTCTGGAACCAGGAATCCACGGCCCTTGCCACAGGGTTACCGTGAGCACAAAATAAGTTGATAATGTATCTGAAAGAACTTTGGGATCCATGAATACTGTGGGATTATGTGTTAGGATAGTGACATCTGTGCTCTCCTGGGGAGAGTGGGTAGCCTCCAGCCTCAGAAGGACAGCACCCACCTGGTCCAAAGGGTATGAGACACGGGACTGTTTGTCTAAGCTGCCTGTGGTCAAAAGTACGTTCTGGACAGAAGAGGTGGTGATGTAACTGGCTCTGTGTGTGTATTGAAAAATCCCTCTTTGCTCTTTCCTCATTTCAGGTTTGTCCTTTGAGTCAAGTCAAATATTGATCGAGTATTTCTGAGTACAAAAGTAGTGTATGAGAGAGTTGTGAGGGATACAGAAGAAGTGCCCCTCTCCTCATGGAGTTTGTGGTCTCGCTGAAGAGCAAGGACAACATGTGTGTATATGAAGGGAGATGCACGGTGAGTTCAAGTACAGACCATAGTCGGGTGCTGGCTGGAGGGTTTCAGGAGAGAGAGGGAACTCTGGGCTGGAAGAATAAAGGCAGGCAGATCAGGTTGAAGAATTTGGACAATTTGGGTGGGTGGAGGGGGTGCTGGTGCCCGGTTGGGGAGGAACACTGAGAAGGCTGGAGAGTCTGACTGACAGCAAGATCTGGGAGCCTCCGGAGTTACTGGGAGAATCACTAGCTTGTGGAAGATTGATCTTTTAGTGGAGTGTTCTGGATGGATCAGAAAGAGGAGCTAGATGCCAGTCAGGTTCTTTGCACAGTCTCTGAGCATTTTGTTTCTGCAGCTCAAATGAAAATTAAATGTGTTATGGACGGTAATTTCTGAACGGTTGGGCTGGAATGCACGGACCGCACGTCTTTTTTTCCCTGTTGGACTTGCCAGGTGGGGTTTGTTGTGGTTGTGAAGAGACCAGATGTTGTTACTTCTCCATTTCTTGAGTCCCTTGTCACACATATGCAGCCAGCTCTTGACCATGCATTGCACGCTGGAAGTGCTCAGTACATATTTATGTTTTATTTGATTCATGGGGGTGGGGAGAGCCGGTCTCTGTAACAAAGTCTAATTTTAGGTAATAGTTTCCACTTCCTCAAGCACCAGTCTTTTCACTTGGATTGCTAATATCTTCCTTCTTTCTTTTCTGGGGGTGCCCTGTTGTAAAAGTGCTAATTATCAGTATTTTGACTGTAAGATAGTAGGTGGGAGGAGCCTGTATCCACAAATGGAGTACAGAATTGATACTTAACTGATTGAAAATAGGCTTCGTAAGTTAAAAAAAAGAACTGTTTAGATCTTTATACACAGCCCACCATGCTCTTCACTAATCTTTTTCTGGTTCCCCTGTCAACAGACCAGGGGCAGGAATGCCACTGGCCCAGTGTGGTGTCTCTTCTGGCCTTTGGTTCTTGCTGGCTCATGCCGTGCAGAGAAGCATTGCCTTCACTTGTTCCAAAATGGAGTGGAACCATGTCTAGGGGAGGGAGTGTGGGGAGGAGGTGTGGAGCAGAGCTGAGGAGCTTTTAGTTTATACTTTCCAACTCTCTATATTGTTTGAATTTTTTCACCATGGATATTTAAGCCTTTTATAACAATAGTATAAAAAATTATATAATAATAATAAATAATAACAATACAAAAAATTGAGTTGTAGTACTCAATTTTAAGTGCTTAAATACAGTAGGAAAATAGAATGGAATTAGAAGTCCTAGTTTATTTGTTCCACAGATGTTTGCTAGCTTTATAATTGAATTTTCTCTGTTCTGTAGTCCAAGCAGAATGACATCCTTAACTCTAGGTTGCAGGTACTCCGTGCGTGTATCACCTCAGATGGCGAACCGGATTGTAGATTCTGCAAGGAGCATCCTCAACAAGTTTATACCCGATATCTATATTTATACAGACCACATGAAAGGAGTCAATTCTGGGAAGTAAGTGCCTGTGCAATTCTGGAGCCTAATTCTGCAGCTACTTTAGCTTGTTTCATAGTGTGCGGTTCTGATTAAAGTTAAAGCTGCCAGCTCTGAGGTTGGGCAGCCAGAGAAAGAATGATTTCAGGATTAATTTCCTTCTAACTTATTGCTCTTGTCACCAGCAATGCCTGTCACACGGAAAGCATCACAGAGGCCAGTGTTGGGAGATGAGGGGTCCAGTCCTAGCCTAGGGGAATTAAAACCCGGCTAATAATAAACAGTGCTTCAAGCTTGGAGTCCCATCTGCACTCTGTTCCCACAAAAAATTAAAGTAAACAAGTTCTTCCACCCTGAGTAAACAGCAGTTTAGGGAAAAAAATCCTTTGTTGATCTAAGTGCCAGTCGGCTTCTCTCTCCATCAAGGGGAACAACAGACCTAGAGCCAAAGAGAGTTGTTATTGCATATTTGAATTTGGTTTAGTTAAAGCCTTTGCGGGAAACCTCACTTTAGAAAATAAAAAGTTAATGATGAGTTATGTAATTAAAATATCTGTTTTAGGTTTTGGTTGTGTATTTAGAAACCAGTAAGTTAGGGAAGCAATTAAAAACTAATTTTTTAAAAATGAAAATGTTATACATATAGAAAAGTTGAAAGGATAGTACAGTGAACACCTGTTCATTCCCACTAGCTGTAGCTAACAATGAATAGTTTGCCCAATTTGCTTTTCTTGTTGAGGGGATTTTCTTTGTTTCTTTTTGGCTGAACCATTTCAATGTGAATGACAGTATCATTACACTTTGAATCTGAACTTTTCAGCTTGTGTCTCCTAAAAATAAGAACATCAGAGATTGACTTTCAGTGTTAAGAAATCAATTTTTTCCTAAATAGTGCCACAGCTCATCCTTTTTTATAGCTCTTCCATCTGAGGTTTCTTTTAACTTCAGCAAAAGAAGGAAAGAGAGAATAAAGGAGGGGGTGAGTGCGTTATGAGATCTCTGACCTTCACGAGGTCCAAGGGAAAGGTGTAGGTGATTTCAGAAATACAGTGGTGGCTCAGAGTCCAAAGCAACAGAGGTGGAGGTGTCAGAGGTTAGAGTTGGGAAAGAATTTGTGTGCAAACCTGGCCCTTTCTCTGTGAGTTGGAAAGGTCAGTGATGGTCCCAAACCTTTGGTGTATTGCTCAAATATCACCAGTGTTTTCCTCATTCATACCGTGGGAGTGATAATGCCTGCATTCCTAGGTTACTGTCAAGATTAAAAGATCATGTATGTAAACCACTAATGCAATGCCTGGCACATAGTAGGTGGTACAGAAGTGGTAGCTGCTAATGCCATTCTTACCTTCTCTTCTCTTCTTGGCCAAAGGTCTGGAATTATGTGTCAGCTTTTCTCTGAGGAGAGGAGATTACAGAGGGAGAGAGGAGGATAGGTAGGAGCAGCTGTCTGAAAGGCCTGATCTCGATAATCTCTCCTCTGCTGGCCTCTAGCTCTACCAAAGGGTGGCCAGGAATGAAGCAGAGCAGGCCTGAAGGCCATGCTGCCCCGAGTGGTAGCATAGCTTTTTGTAATGCCGTTGACTCAGCTGACCCTGGTGGGTGGTCTGGTCCCATGCTTGCTGATGGTGAGTAGGAACCTCACACGTGGATCATGATGTGGGTGTGATGCAGACTCATGGGTCATCAACTCCAAGTTCCATTTGAAAAATTACATGTGAAACCAGTGATGTTACATGTGTGTTTCGTTTTCTAAATTTCAACTTACAGATGACAAACAATGATCTTCCTTGTCTGGTATGAAATTATAAAGTCATGGGTGGGTATTTTCCTCTTCTAATTTGGTGAAGTATCCATGTGAGTTAGGCTTATTGAATGAAGTCTAGGAGTGAGAGTTTGTGTTGTGGCCATGACCTGGACCCTTGTGGGCCAGCAATTCCTGGTGGCCAGTGTAAGCACTTTGACCAGTGTGCACATTTGTCCAGTGTAGTCCCATTTTGATTCTCACAGTAAATACTTAAAAAAAAAATCCAGTCCTTTACCAATTGGAAAGTTTTAAAGACTATCATTTACAACCTGTACTAGCACACAGCTTCAATAAGGTCACTTGGTGAGCATCTCCTTTGTCAGCATAACTTGAAATAGGCTTGATGATACACACCCCAAATTGGGGGGGGGCGGGGAATGGAGTAATGTACATAGAGCTTAACATGTTATTGTGTTCTTTGTTAATGTAATATTAAATGGAACAATCTTGATTAAATATAAAGTTTAATGTAATAAGTATACATCCCTCAGAAAATTCACATGGATGGAAAAATTCGGACATTCTTGGGAAATGCATGTAAGTGGGTTAAAGCAGTGATAGTAGCTATCTTCTGATTCTCCCTCCCCTCCTTTTTCTACTCTTCATTTTTGAATGCCGCTGTCTCTGCTGCTGAGCTGGATACGCCCTCCCTTCTCCTTGTCAAGTGACTCAAAGGCAATATAAGATTGTGCTCAAATGTCCCATGATGATGGTTGGTGGCACAGTGTTAGATTGTTAAGCATGACTCAGAGTGCCCTGGAATCTTTGTTCTCACTGCACCCCCTTCCCTTAGCAGGTGTTATTAACCCTTGGCTGCATAGACAATTGAATTCTTTTTGAGAAATTAAGGACTGACCAATATAGTTCATCCATATAGTGAGTTCCTATAGTACATTTGAGACATCATTAATTTCACACATAGTTTTTCTGAAACAAATATCTTGACTAGTTTTGTGCTGGACGCATAGAAAATGCTTCATGAACGTGTGTTGAATTGTGTCAAAGGAGGCAGTTCTGTATTGTAGTTGCGTGTGAACTGTACTGCTGGGAAGGCTGCCACACCTTTCTTGATGACACATTTACTCAAGAACTACTTGGCAAAGTAGATTTGAGGTGTCAAATCTGGAAATTTTGTGGAAAGGTGATTTTTATTATTTATGGGCTGAGTTTTTGTGGTCAAGCTGGTTGTTACTAAACTGTGTGGTTGAGAACTCTTGTGTTTACCACGATGTCCCCAGTTCCTAGCCTGTGGAAGCTTTCTTCCAGATGTTTGTTGGATCCCTGAGTGGATGAATCAGCTGTGGTTCTGGACAAGAAGGGTGTTAGGTTCTGGCATTGGTGGTAGAAACACAATGCGAGGGAGCATCGTGCCAGCTCATTGATTATATTAATTGAATTCTGAGTTAGAGATATCCCTTGGGGACAGAAACATAAAGCTGTCCCATATTTAGGCCATTTCTGGCTTATGTGGTATTTTTTATTATGGGAAAAAAGCCTGATATTTCTCAAGCAGAGCTGTAAGCAGGTGGTCTCCAGGCCCCTTGTACCCTCTGGTTTGGCTGTGTGTGAGGGCCAAGGGAGGGCTGCGGTGAGAAGTTGTGTAGGCTCTGGGGGCTGCAAGACCTGCATTTGAAACACACCTCCCTCACTTTCTACCTGTGTGGACTTGGTACAGGTTGCTTAGTTTCTCCATTCCTCACTTGTAAAATGGGCACCGTAATACCTACTCTGCAGGGTGGTGGCGTCAAAGCCCCTAGCTCAGAAACTGGCAGAAAGTAGGTGCACAGTATCTAGTAGCCCTTGTTACTGTAACTCTATATGTTGATTGTTACAAACTGTCAACCTAGGATCTTTGACAGTGTGGGAGGGGAGGGAAGAGAGGGCTAAAAGGAAGAGCAATGCAAACTTCATCTTCTCTGGTTCTGCCATGTGTGCCCTCACTAAGTCCTGTATGTTTCCAGTGTAAGCCAGTAGGAACTCTAATAAGGCTGGATGTAACCAGAATGCCATCAAAAAGATGTTTGTCTTCTCTTTCCTTTTGCTGATGAATGTGAGCCCCACTTCATTAACCCTCCTCAGAGTCTGTGCCTTTGAATCCCCAGGTCTCCAGGCTTTGGGTTGTCGCTGGTTGCTGAGACCACCAATGGCACCTTCCTCAGTGCTGAACTGGCCTCCAACCCCCAGGGTCAAGGAACAGCGGTGCTTCCAGAGGACGTCGGCAGGAACTGTGCCAGGCTGCTGCTTGAAGAAATCTATAGGGTATGTCCTCAGCCTCTGCAGGTCTGGGAGAGCAACCATCAGGAAGCAGTTCATTGTCTCTCATTCTTATTCCTTAGCAACTTTCTTCCTCTTCCAAGGGCTTAAGCCAAGGACTTAACCTCTTCCTACTCATTAAATAGTTTAGCCTTAACTAGTTTAATGGATTAACTAAACTAGTCAGTAAGCAGAGGTCTAGCCCCACTAGTTTGGGACACAGGGCAGGTAAGTTTTAATGTTGGGGAGAGGAAAGAACTGAAACAGAGTCAGGAGAGAGAAGGTAGAAAAATGCAGCAGGTTAGGTGGTGACTGGCCAGTTGAAGAGCACACAGTGCCCCGAGCAAAGTGAGTACCGTGTCTCAGCTCCCCCAGTCGTTGCCATAGGGGTGTGGGAGCTCGGTGCTTGTAGAATTTTCAAGAGAAGCTGGAAATCTGGATTTGTAGGTGACGGTTAATTCAGATAGGAAATAATGTCAACAGGCCACATTTTGCCATGTTCTAGAGCATAGAAGAATGTCTAGTGAAGGCAGGCCTGTGTCAGAGCATGCTAGGGGCTTGGAAAAATGAGAACATAGGACAAAGAAGGGCTGACACCTCACCTATTGCCATTTTACTTCTGCAGCTCTGTTGAGGGACACAGCTCAGACTTACTGGACCAACTTGTCCTCTCTGTTGCCACTGTCTTTTCTCTGTCGGTCTGTATGAGGAACATGCACATATACATACACACACTTTTACTCTGTTTCCCAGAGATAGTTGAGGTGACCTAAAATAAGCAAGGAAGAAATTGGGAGAGAAGAGATGATCATGGCAGGAGGAATAAGATGAAGCTGCCTGAAAATACATTCTCTAAGATCCTGTATGCTTGGTTAGAGGAGAGTCACAGATCTGGTTCCAAGATTTCTGTTAGTCTGCCCTGTCTTTTTCCTTGGTTCTATGTCAGGAAGGTGAAACCTTTTCCTTGGTATGTAGAACCCAGGCAGGCTCTGAGTAATGGCCATTTTTCTGCTGCGTATGCTGGGTCCCACATTCTAGAACTGAGCCCTGACAAGAGCTGTCCCCTGGGTGATTTGCTTTTGGATGGTGTATGTTGTTTGTAAATTGTCTTTCTTCTTCAACTGAAGAGCCTTTCTTCTCTGTATTTATCTGTGCATTTATTCTTGGTTGTTAGTTATCTCAGTGTGTCCTGAAGTCTCCAAGAAGTTTTGCCCTTTTTAAAGTAGCTTATTAATCACTATGGTAAGGTTATGCCTGGGTCATGGGTATTGATCCCCGCACAGGCCTCACTAAAGACTAAAGCTTATAGCCATAGTCTGCTCTCCTGAACCAAGTCAGCATTCTTGCAAATACCTCATTGGTTGCAAGGTGGAGCAAGTAAGAATGAACTGTTTGAGAGTTAATTGAAATTTTGGGGCCTTAAATGACTTTATTTAATGTCCATCTAATTAAGATGGAAGACAGGACCTATAATTGTATCTTCTGTAGAGCGACTCCATCCCCTCCACTGACCATTCAGCTAGGAAATAGTGGAGGAAGGAAATAGCCTCTCAAGTGAAATTCTCCTGAAGGAGACTCTTCTCATGATTCTTGTGCAGTCAAGGTCTGGCCTCAGTTTTTTTGATGCTAACTCAGCCCAAAGTTTAATGCTTAGTGATTTTTGAAAGATAGGTAGTACCTAAAAGTTGGGGGTAAATGATCAAGAGGTTGCCCTGCCAGTTCCTTAGTTCAAAAAGTTTGTTATATCGATATTCGTGAGCAAAGAATGTGCGTGTGATACGTGTGTCCAATACATGCATCCCTAAGCCCCTGCTGACTTGTGCAGGTTTCCTTTCCTTGGTCCTGTGGTGACTGGCAGGCCCTCTCTCTGACCATGGGGACACTTCCATCTCTTTCCAGTAGACCTGAGGGAATTGGAAGCATCACATTACAGAACAGCGCAGTGGGAGCGCATGGGCACAGCTGGACTTCGGGTTTTATATCCCCATAAATAGCAGTTTATAAGCCTCAGGGTGAAAGCACAGCTCATCAGTCCACAGAGAAAAAACATGCAGTCTAGATTAGGTTATGTTATTTATTTTTTACTCTAGTTGAGTTCTACTTTAAACCATTTCATATGCCTAGATCGTTTTTTCTTTAATCATTAAGAAAACTTATTTTGTGTGTGTCTGTGATCTTAATTATTAAAAGGATGAAAATCCTTCATGTTCTTAAGGATAATTCTCTAGAGGTCTGTGATGTGACATAGTTTAGATGAGTAATAAAGATCTATCACCTTTGAAATTGCCATTTATTTTTACCGAAGTTTTAAGCCTCTGATCTAATCCCTTTTGTCCCATTTCTGTCTCATCATTTACCAGGCCTTCTTGATTCCGTTTCAGGCTTCCTGGAACTGCTCTTTCCTGTCCATCTTTTTTGCTGCCTGCATCCACTACCCTCCTCCTTTCTACACCCCCTGACTCCCCTGGACCTGGATTATGCTTACCGACTCTCCCCACTTGCAGAGCAGAACTCTTCTCCAAATCCTCTCCAACATGCTTTTCAGTTTAAATCTCCCCCTAAAACATTGATCTGATCTTTTCACTCCTGTGCTCAGAGACCTTCACTAGCTTCTTACTTTCCCAAGATAAAGTCAAACCCTTGACCAGTTAGAAAAGCCTTACTTTAACCTGCCTATTCCACCTTCCCCCTGCTGTTTCGCATACTTCTCCACGGATGGCACGCACCCCCTTTCAGGTTGGTGTCCTGGCTGTTCCTTACTCGCCCTGGGTCATATTTTCCCCATTATCCTGCTCTTCCTCCCTCTCCAACTCAGCTCATCCCTCCAGGGCCAGCTCAAGTCCCCATCTCCCCAAAGCTCCCTCTGGGCCAGGTGAGTGACACCCCCTGCCTTGGCAGTCCCTGTCTTGGCAGTCCCAGTGTCCACAGCCCTCAGCCGCTGCATAGCTTTGGCTCCACCTTGAACTGTTTCTTCTTCCTGCTCATATCTCATCTTTGTAGTGAGATTGGAGCCACGCGGCACAAAGATTGCATCCTCTGCTGTGGGGGTGGCCCCACCATTCCCTCTGTGGTGTCCAGTACACAGACCCTAACATATTTATCCCACTAAAATATTGGTCCATAGTAAAAATCACTTGAGAATGGTGGAATAGTAACATAGTGATAGGGAGCAGAGACTGAAGAGAACATTTGAATGTTGGACAGTCTTATGAAAAGGAGCAGGTTTTCTTAAAACAATTAGTTTTGTTGTTTTCATAGTCTCTGTGGGTCAGGTTTTCCTTTTTAGGTGGAAACATATGCTATAATTCTTTTTGTCCTAAAATTTGCTAAGTGAGATAAATATTGTCCTTTATTAACTCAGGTAGTTTAGGAAGAACAATAGATTTTCATAAAGGCTAGCAGTAGAATAAACCCCTTTATTTTACTGCTCCCCTTGTCAGGGCTGCTAAATGAAGTCTGACAACCAGACAATGAGTGTCTGCATCTGAGAATTGGTTTATTCTCTACCCTACATGCATTGAAAGAGGAGGGAGGTGTACCCACATAACAGCAGTGGGTAGCCACCTATTCTGTTCAAAATCTGGGAGAGCCTAGCCTTGCAGTGATGTGCCATGGTCAGAAACTGAGTTTCTTATTGTGATATGTGCAGAATATGTAGAAATTCAAGTTTATCCTGCTATTGCTGTGTACAATGTAAGTTTGAATTGTTTTAAGTAAAGTTACCCAGAAAGAATGATCAGAAATAAAGACATTTTTTAAGGACAAATGGAAACAATGGTAATGCACACGTCTTGTAGAAGTAAAATGGCTGAAATAGTTGAGAAATTCAAAAATGAAAGAAGGGCATTAGGAGAAAGTTTTTGAAAAGAATTCTGTTCTGCTTATTGATTTGGAAGAAAAGGAAGGAAAGGTGGGGAAAAACAGTTCGTAAGTAATAAGAATGGAGGGCTGTGATCTTAACAGTTCTCCAGATTTAAGGCACACAGAGGAGGAGAAACAAATGTAACACAGCGGGCAGTTTCTAGATGTATTTGAATAGGTGTTATAGGTAATACCCTTGACGTACAAAGGTCCTTTCATGTCAGATCGACTGGTGTTCTTTGACAGATTAAATAGTGGTAGTGTCACTCACTTAGCCCTTGGTAATTAACTATACATTTCCTAGAACCAATCTTGCTTTTTTGCTTATATGTTCTGCTGCTGCTTTAATTATGAAGGAAAGTTTTGTTTTTCACTAGATACGCCTCAGTAAACTTGAGTGTCTAGTTCATTCTGATAGTCTCAGCTACTACAATTGCTTTAACTGTTAGTTTAACCCCCTAAAGTCAATTGCTCTAAGGATTACTCTTAAAAGACCTGTATTCTGTTTTATGATCGCTTTTAACTTTGCAGTCTGCTCTTCTGTTGTTCTGATATTCTATTTATCTGTCTGTTTTCTTTCCTCTGTTTTGTTGGTTGGCCATTTTCTGGTTGGTACAACGATTAATCTTTAAAGTATTTGTGTTTACAGGGGGGATGTGTGGACTCGACCAACCAAAGCCTGGCTCTGTTGCTTATGACCCTTGGACAGCAGGACGTTTCCAAAGTCCTGCTAGGACCACTCTCTCCCTACACGTGAGTTGTTCTGCAGCCTCATCATGCTCTCCAGCTTAATCTTCCGATTGCGCGAAATGACAAAGGCGTTGTACTGCACATAGCCTGTCACTACAAACACCTGCTTGTATCGATGCTTAAATGAGCTGGAGACTGTCACTCTCAACCTCGTCTTTTGCAAGGGTTTTGCCTTCTTTTCTTCCTGTAGTTTCATCATTCTCATGTTATTAAAGTTACGTGGTATGTATTGGATAGTTCTTTTGTCTGCACTTTAGATTTTGGTTCCATTTTGAAGGTAAACTTCTGGTTCTCTTATAGCTTGGATTTTGTTGTTAGTTTTTTAAATCCCTCTTTTCTCTAGCTGTGGCAAAAAGGACTTTTTGTCCAAGATGATAGGATATGAGCTGGCAGGAAGGATGAAGAAAGAGGCAGAGTTCACAGTAATGCCACTGGACTAGCAGGCAAACGTAGAGGTGAGTTTGAGGCCGTGGGGTGTTATCAGAAGTGGACTGCTGAGGTATTAAAGCAGGCACTCTCCAAAAAGAGCAGATCCTCAGAAGACTTGAATTCTAAACAGCACTGTGAAAGGAGCCTTTCCCATCGACAGTAAACGAGGTTGCTGTAAACAGCTTGTTTGAGCACTGACATCTCTGTATGGGCACGTGTGCTTATATGGGATCATTATGTGGTCATCTGTGGGTGGGGAGTAGGGGTGGGTGGGCTTTGTGTGGGAGGAAATATTCAGGTAGATATGAGACTGAACTGTCCTTTTTCGGTTATCATGGTACCGATGCTGTATATCTGAAAGGTACAGTACTGTGATAACTGAAGAATGGTGGTGCCATCACATTGAGAAAGGGGTGAGCACTGCCAAGGGGCGAGGCACCATCGGACCATGGCTTGGGGGATGTGGAGACCAGGAGCTTGAAAGAGAGTCTTTTGAAGGCTTTTTTTTTTTCGAGTTGGTGGTAGGTGGTTTTTTGGAACAAGGAAATGAAAGAGAATACATTCTGTTAGCAGTGGGGGAAGACTGATAAGCGGGAAACTAGTGAGGACCACATTATCTCCTGATAACTTGTGTAAAGTATTTCACAGGACAGGAAACCTGAAATTGAGTAATCCTAAATGGCACGATAACATGAGGAATCAACATTGCTGAAATAGACTTTGTAGTTAAGGCATTGGGGTTTGGAGAGGAGGTAAGGGCTGGGAGTACAGGACCCCACGTGCAGAGATTCTCTTCCCATAGAGAGTTTGCTGGAAGCAGCTGATAGCTCTGTGACCCCCACAGTTCCCTTCCGCTTTTTAGCTGGTCTCATTGCTGCTGCCTTCCCAGCCTCTGCTTCAGGGCAGCAGAAGGCCTGACCGCTCACACAGCAGTGTGTGGTTGTGGGGCATGGGGTTTGGCAGAACATTATGTGAAAAATGGAATGTATATTTTTATTTTTCCTTGACACTTTTTTTTTTCTTTTGGAGATTTTTTTTTCAGTTTGGCTACAGGGCCTTTGTAATCATTTCAAGTCAGCAGCCCCTGTGGAGTTGGTCAAGATGTGACTGGACATTTTTAAAAGTTCCTGTGTCCTCCTTGACACACCCCCTCACCAAACATTAATTGCAGTGTCTTGTCTTCCAGAAACCTTGCCTAAAATTACTACGTCTCCTGGGAAAACAAAGTAGTCTGCCCTGAATGGAGCTTTACAGGAGTAGGACAAATTGCAAAATTATGTTTTGAGACTTGGGGCTGGGGGTTGCAGGACATTCTTCCTCTGGGTTATCTGCCTTCCAGGGTGTCATGCAAGGGGGGCTGCCATGGGGTGGGAAAGAGCAGCCCAGATTCTTTTTGGTAAGCTAGCTCAAGGTAGGGGGAGAAGGGGTTAGGAAGTTTATTTTGAAAGCTGTATCTATTTGAGACTCTTTTTGCCCTTTATCATGTGGAAGGCTCCGGTGGCCCAAAATAATGAAAGGCAAATGTGGGAGGAAATATACGTCCTTTAGAGACCTGACAGGCAAAGTTAACAATGTATTTCTGTGTACAGTTAATGGTGCAGAAGGGACAGAATCCATAGTCAGGACGATCACAGTGGGGGGAACAATTTATCCTAGCTGGATTCAAGAGCTTTGGAGACCAAACTATCACACTTATTTTTTTGTGCAGTTAAAGTCATAAAAATCTGTTTTTTGAAACCTCAAATTTCTAACAAAAACCAGAAGCAAGACTCTCTTCGGTTTAAAGAAATGTATTTCTTCTGGCAGTTTGCACGTTCTGATTTGTATAAATAGCTTTTTAAATGTCTGTTTACAGAGCACTGGGATTAGGGAGGATGTTTTTTCTTGCAGTGTTGCTTTCAGACTGTTTCTGGAAAATAAGGGTCGCTATGATCTTTCCTTTTCCTCTTCCCTCTGTCTTACTTCAGGAGATTGCTGTTGGTAGTTTCATGTGTTACTTGAGAAAGTCAGTCTATGTGTGTGAAATTCTTAGGAAAAGCCAGAGAGATTTTTTTCGGTAGAATAAAATAGTATTGGATATCATGCTGGTATGTGGAGACTCTGTTTCGGTTAAGTTTGTTGAGTTTAGGTGGCTACAGTTGGTGACAGTGATTCCACCTTCCCCTCGAGAAGCTTAACTTCACAGTTTAGGGGAGGATTTATGCTTTGTTTAAAAGTAGGATTAACAGCAAGAAAAATACATATTAATGAGCATTTTCCTTAGCGCTTTCAGCAGTTGCTGATGACCAGAGCTTCCTGCGTTCTGCCAGCATACAGGCGTTGGAGTCCATTCTATCTGGATTTCAGCTCTGGCTCTACCCTGGAGCACCAGGAGACCATGGACAAAGTATTTAGCATCTCTGAGCCTCTGTCGCATCTGCAGAGAAGGTGAATGGTCCTGACGTCACGGGTTTGGGGAGATGGAGATGGAGCGAGACTTACATGAGGTCAGGTACTTTGCGCTCCCAGCAGCCCAGTGTGCCTGATGGAGCTCACTCAGTGCTGAATGCCGAGGCTCCCGCCTGCACGTCCCCTCAGTCTGGGAAGTCCAGTCTCCCGTTAAGGTCACTTTGAACACTAGGAGGCCTAGTAAACTTGCTTTGGGCAATCTCAGACCGAAGTCAGCTGCAAATTGTCTGCTCAGCTATCTCTAAGTCTATAAATTTTAACTTTATGACTAACTTCCTGCCGTTGTGTTACTAAACCATCCACACACATCTTATTTACTCTTAGGTATTTATTTAACAAACACTTGGAGATTTTACTGTTGGCCAGATGTTGTTTTAAGCGCTTTACAAACTTGAACTCATTTGGTGTTCCTAATAACCCTAGGAGGATGATAAAGGCAGGTATTCTCAGATGCTCCATTTTACAGGTGAGGGGATTGAAGCACAGAGAGGTCGAGTCACGTGCCCAGAGTCACACAGTCAGCAAGTGGGATTCAGACCCGAACAGTCTCGTCCAGAGTCCATGCTTCCCTGACCCACTGTGCTCTTATGTAAGAGCTGGGATTCCATCCATCTTGTTGGACTCCAGGCACCTCCCTGCTACATCTTTTCAGAGAGTCCTCGTTTTAAATTCTGCCGTAAAATGATCTCCTTCTATCTTTAGTGGGAAGTCTAAAATAAACCATGCCACTTTGTTTTTTTCCAACTTTAATAAATGACCTCTTTCCACTACTTGCAAAGTGCTGGGGAGTGAGAGCCCAGTGTCCTTGTTAAACACTGACTGATCAGGGGTTCTTGGCTCACCCATTCTGAGGTGCAGCACGTGAAGATCAAATGAGATAATGTGCCGGAAAACTGGGAACTGCTGGCCAAGCCTACTGCTATGGGTTCAGTTGCTTAATTGCTCCCTGTGAACTAGCACAATACCACTCCTCCTTACATGTGGGAAGTGCTTTATGTGCTGCAAAGCCATGTCACTTTTCTTATGCTGTTTGAGCCCAAAACATTTTGGCATAGGGTAAAAGCACGTGATGTATCCTTACTTTTCAGGTGAAAAAGCTGACCTCTGCTCCAAGAGTGAAGTTATTAAATTTGGTTATAAAGGCAGCAGGAAACAGAGAGCCAGGCTAGGGGAGACGTGCGTCCCAGGCGATTTGGGCCAAGAACTCACTATGAACATTCATTCTTGGAACAGAGGTCACCTGGGCTTTGGGAAATCCACTATTGGGCAGAAGAAGCACCAACCAGTGTAGTTTTAAAAAGCTGCTGTGTAGACATTTCTGCAAAGAAGATATACAGATGGCCAATAGGCACATGAAAAGATGCTCATCATCACTGATCATCAGGGAAATGCAAATCAAAGCTACACTAAGCTATCACCTTACACCCATTAGAATGGCAAAAATAACCAAAACAACAAGTAACAAATGTTGGAGAGGTTGTGGAGAAAAAGGAACCCTCATACACTGCTGGTGGGACCGCAAACTGGTGCAGCCACTATGGAAAACAGTAACGAGATTTCTCAAAAAATTAAAAGTAGAAATACCATATGACCCAGCCATCCCACTACTGGGTATCTATCCAGAAACTTGAAATCAGCAATTCCAAAAGTCCCATGCACCCCTATGTTCATTGCAGCATTATTTACAATAGTCAAGACATGGAAGCAACCTAAGTGCCCATCAACTGATGATTGGATAAAGAAGATATTTTATGCACACTCACACACACACACACACACACACACACACACACACACAATGGAATACTACTCAGCCATAAAAAAGGATAAAATTGTCCCATTCACAACAACATGATGGACCTTGAGGGTATTAGGTTAAGTGAAGTAAGCCAGATAGAGAAAGACAGTCTCTGTATGACTCCACTCATACGTGGAAGCTAAACATGTAGACAAAGAGAACAGATTAGTGGTTACCAGAGGAAAGGGGGGGTGTGGGGTGGGCATAAAGGGTGAAGTGGTGCACCTACAACACGACTGACAAATAATAATGTACAACTGAATTTTCACAAGGTTGTAAACTATCATAGTCTCCATAAAAAGTTAAAAAAAAAAGCTGCTGTGTAATGACTAGAGGGGGCCCCCATGATCAAATTCTCTTCCCACCCTCCAATCTTTCCCCTCAACTTCCAGAGCAACTCCCTAGACCTGAGAAGTGGGTAACCCCAATGTCCAGGTGCTCTGTGGAGCGGGAGCGCTGATCCTCTGTCGTAGTTTGTGTCTGTGGAGCTGCCAGAAGGACAGCTCCCCCATGGCTGCCCTCACCGCTGTTCTGTCAGGCTTCAGAAAGGCGACCTGGTGAGAGGGGCTATATTTAAGGGGCAGGCCAGACCACCTGGCAAGTCCCGGCCAGTTGGGATTCAATGGGCAGATGACTGAGCCCCTATTAGCCTTCACCTATTGGCCGACAGTGGCGGTGGGAACAACCCACCCTTTGAAAATACACAGGAAAAATTATCTCTGTGCTCCCGAATTCTCTGAAACCCACTCAGATGGACTGGAGGCTTTCGTAGAAAAGTAGATTGCTGTTTTTGTTTTTCTGAAAATAAATAAATAAATCGTTTTGTCCTGGAAAAAAACAAAGAAGAAAAGCAGCTTGCTACAGATAGAGTTCCTTAAAGTCGGAAGTTCAAACCCCTCACCCCAGAGTTGTGTGGAATCCCAGTGGCCTAAAATGGTTACTGTGACAAGTTGCCAGTTACGCTGTGCTGGTGGTCGTCCGCTGAGGAGCAGAGTCGTTCTCGGCGTGCCATGGGCCTCTTTTTTGCCTGGCTCTGTGGCTGTGGGTTGTGTCTGTGAAGTGTGGATCTACAGTATGGTGTTGGGAAGAGAAGGAAAGGGAACCTCCTACACTGGGGAGGTGGGGCCTTGTGGGTGTGCTCCTGGGGCTGTGCGCCGCTGTGGGGCTGTGGGGCTGTGCTTCAGCTCCAGACATGACTTTGTGCAGCTGCATGTACTCATGGGGTGAGTTTATTCTCCATTTTCTCAAGGAGACTGTTAGGATTTAATATCACCTGTGGTTATTTCTTAGCTTCCGAGGATGTTTGCTTTTAGATGGCCCGGCTACAGAAGACATAGGGAGAGTGGGGCTGGAGGTGGGACAACGTTCTGAAACGTCCCTAATGGAGTCCGTTACACAGCCTTCCTCAGACAGGCCACGGGGCTGGCAGAACGTTATGTAAAAAGTGGAACCGACTTTGCTTTTTCTAACTATTCCAAAGGCCACAAATACCCCAAAGCTGCAAATATGTAGGCCTGTGTTCACTCAGGCCTGTGTTCCTCCCATCCTTCTCCAAGAGATCAAAAGCAAGCCGAGGCCCTGTAGGAATTCTGCCAGCTGGGGAAGGTGTCTGGTTTTTCCAGCACAGTTGGGCGATTCAGAGTGAAGTAGGCTGGGGCGGCTGTGGGAGCAGAGCGTGTCCCAGGCCTGTGTTAGAGCTCAGGCAGCAGCAAGAGAGAGAACAGGCTGTTTTCTCCTTAGAATGCAGACGAGTGGTTGAAATGGCTGACTTTTTCTGTGTTGCTGCCAGAGCTGTGGAAGCTTTGCCCACAGATGTGTACTGTTTGTATATGGGTTTGATGTGTTTGTTTTCTTTTTTTCCTAGGACAGGGTGGGGGAGGTTGTGAGGCTGGGACGGAGAGCAAAAAACTGAAAATTTCAATTGGTTAGTAAGACAGGAAAGCCAGCAGGGGAAGAACTGACTTCCCTTCGAGGCTAAGAATGTTGAAGTCATTTCTCAAAATTAACCCTAACTCCTGAATTCTCTTTGGTGCCTCATTATTGAGTGCCTTACATGGTGCCTAGCAAGTGTAATGGGTTTCAGGCATAGATAGGGTCTTTGCCCTTGAGGTGCTTATATACTTTACCAAGGGGGGAAGGGGCAATTGTGCGACAACTATGCATAGACGTTTAATTAGATACCATAAGGAGAGCCAAGAATGCTATGGAAATCCAGAGGGGTTATTGGCTAGGGAAGGCTTCGTAGAAGAATTGGCAAATGTGATGATATTTAAAGATGGAAATGAAGTAGCACAATCCTAGGTGGAAGAGGGAGCAAAGAAGTGAGGAATTTTTCCTTTGAGCGTGCAGCACTCACCAGAACTCCTACACTCCAGGGCAGTCACTCTTTCATCTCTTAGTCCCTGATGTCCTGGTCATGTCAGCCAAAAAGAATGAGGAATTGTTCTGGCCCCTTTTTCTCCTTTTTGCCGTTTCTCTCCTTTGACTAGATCAACTAAGACAGAGATATAGGAGAAGATGGAAAATTCACTGCAGTAGGCTTTTACTTAGTTTGGTATATACTCTGTGAGGGCGGGAGCCAGGTTTAATACTTTTTTTTCTCATGAGGAAGATGGCCCTGAGCTAACATCTGTGCCAATCTTCTTCTATTTTGTGTGTGAGGTGCTGCCACAGGAGGGCTTGATGAGCCGTGTGTAGGTCCACACCTGGGATCTGAGCCGCCAAAGCGGAGTGCGCGAACTTAACCACTATGCCACCAGGCTGGCCCCTCAGTGCTTTTCTTTTACCATTACACATATATATTTATTTTAAACAGCTTTACTGAGATATAATTCACATAGCACAGTTTACCCATTTAAAGTATGCAGTTCAGTGGTTTTTACTATGTTTACAGAGTTGTGTAACCATAACCACAATCTAATTTTAGAACGTTTTCCCCACCCCAGAAAGAAACCCTTTGCCATTCACAGTTGTTCCTCATTCTTCCCACTTCCCCCGACTCCCAGGCAACCACAAATCTGCCTTCTGCCTCTGGTAGTAGATTTGCCTATTCTGGCCACTTCATATAAATAGACTCATACTATATGAGGTCCTTTGTGACCGTTCTTTTACTTAGTGTAGTGTTTTCAGAGTTCATCCATGCTGTAGCATGTGTCAGTACTTCATTCCTTTTTAAGGCTGACTAATATTCCATTGTACAGATACACCACATTTTCTTTATCCATTCATCAGCTAATGGACGTTTGGGTTGTTTCCACTTTTTGACTGTTATGAATAATGTTATTATGAACATTTGTGTACAAGTTTTTATATGGATATGTTTTCATTTCTCTTGTGTATATAGACCTAAGCATGGAATCACTGGATCATATGGTAACTCCTTGTTTAACATTTTGAGGAACTACCAGACTGTTTTCCACAGTGGCCAGACCATTTACATTCCTACCAGCAGTGTATGAAGGTTCTAATTTCTTCACATCCTCACCCCCACTTTTGTTATTATCTGTCTTTGACTGGAGCCACTCTGTTGGGTTGTGAAGTGGTATCTCATAGTGGTTTTGATTTTCATTTCCCTAATGACTCATAATGTTGAGCATCTTTTCATGTGCTTATTGGCTCTTTGTATATTTTCTTTGGAAAAATGTCAATTCAGATCATTTGCTCATTTTTGATTGGGTTTTTAAAATTATTATTTATTTGCAAGAGTTCTTTGTATATCCTAGATACCAGACCCTTATCAGATACATGTTTTGCAAATATTTTCTTCCATCTTGGAGGTTGTATTGTCACTTTCTTGATAGTGTCCTTTGGTGCACAAAAGGTTTTAATGCTTTTGGTGTTGTATCTAAGAAATCTTTCCCTAGCCCAAGATCATGAAGATTTACTCCTATGTTTTCTTCTGTGAGTTTCATAGTTTTAGCTCTTACATTCAAGCCTTTGATGTATTTTGAGTTAATTTTTGTGGACGATGTGAGGAAAGGGTCCAGCTTCATTCTTTCGTATGTGAATATGCATATGGAGTTGTTCCAGCACCATTTGTTGAAAAGATTATTCTTTCCCCATTGAATTATCTTGGCACATCCTTTTTGAAAATCAATTGACCATAAATGTATGGGTTTATTTCTTCACTCTCAATTCTGTTTCATTGATCTTCGTGTCTAGGATCAGTATTTTGAAAGCTCCTCAGGTGATTTCGTGTGCAGTCGGGGATGAGGACCATCTGGCTAGGGGGGCAGTTTGTATGGTTTGATTGAGAGGCAGCGCCATACAACGTTGCTGGAATACTTCATTTCAGATATGCAGGCCATCTGTTCTTTTTTTTTTTTTTAAAGATTGGCACCTGAGCTAACAACAGTTGCCAATCTTCTTTTCTTCTTCTTCTTCTTCTCCTCCCCAAAGCCCTCCAGTACATAGTTGTATATTCTAGTTGTGAGTGCCTCTGGCTGTGCTATGTAGGACACCACCTCAGCATGGCCTGATGAGTGGTGATGAGCCATGTCTGTGCCCAGGATCCGAACTGGCAAAACCCTGGGCTGCTGAAGCCAAGCACATGAACTTAACCACTCGGGCACAGGACCAATCCCAAACCATCTGTTCTTAACTAAACCAGTGTTTCCAAACTTGCCTGATAAGAATCACAATGGATGCTTGTTAACAGCAGGGTTCTGGCCCCTGTGCACTGAGGAGACAGGGCCTGGTAAGGGGTGGGGAGGGGACATCTTTGCATGTGGTGGCCTATGATTCTGGGTTCTACTACATGGACACGTCTTCCCTACGAGTTGCCAGTTGAGCAGAACCTTCAGGAACCTGTATGTTTAATGAACTCTCCAGGTGAGTCTTATGGTCAGGCTAGCTGGGGTGATGCTGAATCTGCTAGGGCACACCAGTAGAAGCCTGCATACCTGTACCATGGTCCTTCCACAAAATTGCTCTTCCCAAGGTACTCTTGGGGTGACGCCATCGCTCTGTCTTAAGGGAGATGACGAGAAACAGTCCCATGAGACTCTTCACCATGTTTACTCTGAGCTCCTCCCCAGCCACCTTATTGAATATGGCCTCCCGCCATATATACACAAATATTGTTATACCCACATTTCCTCCCCCATCTGCCTGTTTACTTTATGTAAATTTCCATAGTACTTTTCAGGAATATTTAACTAGGTTGAAAACTTCACGAGAGAAGTATTTTTAGTTGACTGCAACATCTCCAGCACCAAGAACAATGCCTAGCACATAGTAGGCACTGAATACATATTTGTTGAGTGATTGAGACTGTGTTGTCGGGGTTGAGGAATGAAGAGAAAGACTTCTCTATTTCAGCGTCAGCAGCAATCATTCTGCTTAGTTTTATTTCATGATGCTGAGACTCGTGGGAGGACATGCTTCTTTGCATGAGCTGCTCAAAGATTAACACCATATTTATGCTCGCTCTAGCGGTGTGTAGGACTAAATGACTTATGTCAGGTACTAACTTCTAACTTTTTAAAAAGTTTATTTATTAATTTATTTTATTTTATAAATTTATTTATGTTGTATTGTGTGCATCTCTGCAGGCTGGCTAAATCCTCTTTGGAAACTGGCAGGCTATAAATAAATAGCTATATAATCAGCTTTGATGAGAAATTGTTAATTTTAGTCATTCCTCTTGATCTACGAAATTAAAAGCTTGGGTTTTAGGTGGGGGAAGGAGAATTTTTAAAAAAATCGAATTCCTTTTTCATTCCTCCCTCCTTTTTTTTTTTTTAGGATAGAATTTTTGCGGCATTTGAAGAGCTTTTTCCAGATTATGTTTAAAATTGAAACCAGGCCATGTGGTGAAGAACTAAAGGGTGGGGATAAAGTGCTGATGACCTGTGTTGGCATTGGCTTCTCCAACCTTAGCAAGACCCTGAAGTGATACTGTCACAAGAGAAGGCCCCAGTGCTGACAGACAAAGCAGAAGCTGCCATGGACACGAAATGGACCAAGTCCAAATTTATCCAGGACAGGATAACCTCTTATATTAAGGACTTATTATTAATTTTACATTAAAAAAAAGTCAGAATATCCAAATAGAAGACATCTCTATATCATGTGGTTTCCAGCCATTTCTCCAGTGGCATTGACGTTCCTCAGGAGGCCCCGCCGTGACGAGAGCTCCCTTGGCTTACCTGGACAAAGAGTGTGCCTTCAGGACACAGTTGTGCTGCTAGAAAAACATCACAGCTGTTTCCTCAGCCCACACCCCGGGCTTCTGTCATATGGCCGTTTTCCAGACCTGTGGAGACTGTTACTGTTCTTTCTGCAAGGACTGACCTCTTTCAGCCTCAATTTCTGTGTAGGGATTAAATGAGACAATATGGGTAGGGGCTCTTTATGAGCAGTGCAGTGCTATGCAAGTGTCAGAGACTGGTATATTAGACTGTGTGATCCCTTGTCTTCTGAATGGACTGCTGTCTTGGAGACAAATACTGCTCCCTCTCTGGTTCGTTGTATGGGTATGTGGGGGGATGAGTGTGTGTGGAGGGCAGAGCTCCAATTAAAGTTATTGGATATTTTCCAGATCCCAGGTGTGCTGTATGTTCCTTATTTTATTCTCACAATAGCCCTGTGATGTAGATTTTATCTCCACAAGAAAATTCAAAAAGGGTATTTTGTTCCTTTGAAATTTAGAATGTGAAGACACTAGATCTCCTGATTTAAAGATCTAAGTATAGTAGTGTCCAAGTCTGGAATTACTTGCAAGCTAATAAGTTAGATTATTACTGTTTTGTGGATGTTAGCAGAAGACGTCAGGGTCCTGGGTCAGAGACAAAGAACTTTATTACTCAGAGCGCAAGAAGCAGCATGAGCTTCATATTTGTCTTGGTTTCCCCTGTCTCCCCCAAGTCCCACAGTGGTGACATGGAGGGGCCTCATCTAGATGCCATACGCACAGTGGGTTTGCATCACAGCCTAGGAACAGGCATACTTGGGGACTCTACCTCTTACGGCAAACTGGCTCTTTGTTCTAGATAAGGACATTACTTCATCCCTCAAGATTGCTTGCTGTGAACGCAGTTATGAGAAAGGGCCCAGGTAAGGGCCTCTCCAGCAGGAATGTGCAGGAACACTCAGGGCCCGTGGTGGATTGCCCCTGTCAACTCATAGAGTCTGCATTTGGTGTGTGTATGGGGTTGGAGTTGGTAGAAAGAGAAGGAGCCTAGTTCTTTCTACTAGGATCCCAAATGGCATTCTCCACCTGAGGTGGGCTTTTGAAATAAGGAAAGGTCATTGCCTCCCCAGTCCTCTTGGTACTCTTTTCTTTTTTGATGAAAGGAGGCCTCAGAGGAAGTCTGTGCTCTCACAACTGGAGGTGTGGGAGGATGTGGAGATGGAGGGCTAACACTGAAGAAGTCCAGGCCGTCCTGAACTGTGGCACTCTACTTACTGAGAGCTTTCTATACTGTATTAGGTTTCTGTTGCTGCATAACATATTACCACAAACTTGGCAGCTTAAAACAATACCCATTTATCACCTCACAGTTCTGTAGTTTAGAGACCCTCGTGGACTTTGTTGGGTTCTCTGCTTAGGGTCTCACAAGGCTGCTGTCAAGGTGTCAGCCAGGCAGGGCTCTGGGAAATAATGTGCTTCCAGCTCATTCAGGTTGTTGGTGAAATTCAGGCTGTAGGACTGGAGTCTCCGTTTCTGGCTGGCTGTCAACTGGGGACAACTCTCAGCTTATAGAGGCTGCCCGCCTCTATAACAAGTTACTGGTAATTTGGTTCCCTCCATCTTCAAGCCAGCAATGGTGCATCGAATCCTTCTTGTACTTTGACTTCTTGTGGTACCAGTTGAAGAAAACACTGCTTTTAAGTCACTCCTATCACAGTCCCACCTGGATAATCTCCCTACCTTAAGGTCACCTTATCACAGCAGTACCTAGATTAGTGTTTGAATACTCAGGGGCTGGGAATCTTGAAGAGCCATTTGAGGTTTCTGCCTACCACACACGCTGCAGTCTTAGTGCTGCTGATGTTTGAATCCAGATCTGCTCATGCTCAGATAAAGAACTAAGTGGCTACCTTGCTTTGGACCTGTCAAATGCTATCCTACAGGGGCTTTCTGTCCCTTGGAACAAGCTCTGGAAATGGCACTGTTGGTCAATTTAGCGTGGCATATAGATTGCAGGCAGATCATTGCAAGCAGTAGAAGGGACATGCGCCCCTATCTGTTGTAAACACAAAAGTGTCTGGTGGTTTCCAGCCCTTCATCTGGCATAGCAGCTTCTGGAGTGGGAACATCTGGCGGTCGTGGTGATGATATTGCCAAAAGGAGGACGAATTTAATATTTATCTAAACAGCCTGCACCCAGCTCCTTCTCAAATGCCCAAGAGAGGCAATACCATTCCTTAGGCAGAAGCCATCTTGTTCAGGTTGCTGGTACATCTTAGTGACATTCAACTCCTACAGTCTCTCACTTGTTCTTGGCTTAGATCCTGTTTGGTCCAGCTGCCCCCGGATAGTTTAATGAGAGATTCCAGCATTTTGGTGTTGTCTTTCTGTCTTAGCCTGTTTGCTCCCCTCTGCTGACAGAGACAGACCACTCTGAGTTCAGTGAGACTAGTGATTTTTTTAAGGCAGATACACCTGTGACCTTGTTGAGGGTTGTGGCAGAATCATTGCCTTTGCCTTCCTGTCATCTACCAGGCCCTGCCTCTGTCTTTCAACACCCTTCACCTACATTCTCTGTAAACAGCAACCAGCCTCCGTCCATCATGATTATTTTACCATGTTCATCAAGACAGTTGATAAGGGGTGGGAGGAAGCTAGAGTGTTACAACATGACATGCTGATGGGGAAAGAACAACAGCACACTCTGTTAAACCCAAATTGCCCTCACAGGGCAGCTAAACCTCATGATTTGTTTCTTTTTTTAAATCTTTTCTGATAAAAAGTGGTGAAGGACATCACTAATTACAGACTCAACAAAAAACCCCCAAAACTTAAGTTGCACCATGGTGCCTGTCCTCCCTGTCACTCCACAACAAAAGACCATGAGGTGGCCATTTCCCGCTAGGTCTTTTGTGTTGGGGGCTCGTAGGTGAGGCCAATGCTGGCAGTTAGTTTTATGGTGACTGAGTGGAACAATTGAGGGTGCTAAAGGCAGGGAAGGAAGTAGGCAGGATGGAGTAAAGGAGACTTAGAGAAGTGGTTAAAATCAAGGGTAGATGGAGAAAAGGAAACACCAGGGAAACAAGGGATTACGACAGTGTTGGCCGTGCCCAAGGTAGGGGTAGGATTCACCTGGGTGAAGTGAGGGGACCAAGGCAGTGGGGAAGAAATGGATTTGTTAGGGGTTTTGGTCATGGTCGGAGGATTAGAATGTGGGATTCCATTGACTACCTATCACTGCTTTGTTGGAGACCTGTGGATATACCAGCGGGTGATTTTAGGCAGCGATGAATGAGAGCAGCACCACAGGCTGTATGCCCAACCTGGATCTCCATCGTTCCTCACCCAGCTCCAGAGTGGATGAGAAGTAACTTGTGCTTAGTCAGAGTTTTCATGTTCAGAAGACCCTGGCATGTCCTTTAGAAGTGACTAATAGTTAATGGGAGTGGCAACAGGCCAGCCCGGTCTTTTTGTACCCTAGCTGGAGGGGTGTAAGAAGCCATTTGAGTGGAACAATTTATCAATGTGTAGCATCTTACGGAGGCCAAGCCACATAACCACTTTACTCAAGCAAATAAAAGCCCTCATTTGTCAGGGGCTGCCTGGGTCTGGGGCTGCTCTAATTCCTTGTCACATTTGGCCCATACCTATCAGAGAGTCTGACTTCAAGCCTGAGCACAGGCCTTGGGTTAGCACCTGTTGGTGGATCAGGTCAGAGTTTTGGCATGATGGCCACTCCCTCTCTTCCTGGTCCTTCTGATGCTGGTGGTTCTGGGATGTGGATCCTGCTCTGCTAAAGACCCTTCTGTTGGGTCTGCAGGGGAGGTGACAGTGATCTCAGGACGTAAATGTGGCACAGCTTGCTTTCTAGCCCAGTTCAGCTACTAACCAGCTGTTATGACATTAAATAATTCACTTCCCCACGTTTGGGTTTCCTCTGTGGAATTGAGGTGAATGTGTGAGATGGTGCCAAAAAAATCAGGCAGATGCCCATCGTTGCCTCCTCTACCCCTCTCCCATTCTTGGGATGGCAAGTAGGTTAATTGGCATGAGTTTTTTTGTTTTTAATATTGAGATGTTTTCTCTGAGGTCTCAGGATACTCTTTATGGCTGTGTTTCCTCCCACTCCCAACCCTCTAAAGAGTTTTACATCCAAAAATATTGAGATTTATTAACTTGTTAATACTTTCTTCTGTGATTTTAGAAATGATATATTCAAGCTGATGGAGATGAGTGAGTTTCTAGAAATCAGAGGGCAACTTAAAGACAAAGAATAATGAGCCAACCCAGCAATGATACCTGTGGCAACTTCCTGTGTCTACTCTCTGAATCCCTATCTCCATGGCTGTGAGAGTGATGGGACTGCTGCTGGACTCATTGGTGGCCATTTGAGCAACTGGTCTCTGTCTGGGAAGCAGATAGTGCCCCAAAGGAAGGGGAATGGCAGGGGCAGCTGCCTATTCCTGCTGCACCTGGGAATGGTAGGACATCCTGAAGCTCTTCATAGTCTTTAAGGAAAGATATCAGTGGGGATCACATATTTTGGAATGGTGCCTGGCTTGCTACGTGGAAGGATCCAACTTCAGGTCATCACAACTGACCTCAGGCTGTTTTCAGTGCTGAGTGTGCTTGGTTCCTGGACTTTCCCGCATACTCCCCTCTCGGTCCCATGCTCTGTTTCGACCTCTCTGCTATTTTATGTGTTAGGCAATTAAAGCCATCTTGCCTAAGATCTGTAAGCTTTGAAGAACCAATGGAAATGTTTGCTAAAAACCAGGAAAACATTTCTGGCTCCGAATTATGCAAAGGAAGCGAAAATAATTAAATATCCACAAAATGAAATGTTTCCCAGAACAATATGGGTGAGTTTCTTTCTCCACGAGCATTTCCAAGCATATGTGATTGCCAAGGAATGCATAGCCAATCATCTATTAAGTGAGTTGCTGGGTACCAAGCAGTTTAAAAGGCAAAATTATAAAAGGACTTTCAGGAAAGCCTGTTCAGTAAATGGTGTTGGGAAAGCTGGACAGTCACATGTAAAAGAACGAAAGTAGACTATTATCTTACCATACACAAAAATTAAAATGGATTAAAGACTTGAATGTAAGACCTGAAACCATAAAACTCCTAGAAGAAAATATAAGCAGTACACTCTTTGACTTTGGTCTTAGCAGTATCTTTTTGCATACCACGTCTCCTCAGGCAAGGGACACGGGAAAAAAAACAAATGGGGGGCCAGCCTGGTGGCATAGTGGTTAAGTTCACATGCTCTGTTTCCACAACCTGGGGTTTGTCAGTTCAGATCCCTGGTGCGGACCTACCCACTGGTTATCAAGCCATGCTGTGGCAGGCGTCCCACATATAAAGTAGAGGAAGATGGGCACACATGTTAGCTCACGGCCAGTCTTC